CTGGAAAAATAACAAACACAAAAATACATATTTTAAATGATTAACTGAATAAAGCTTCCTATCACATTACACAAATTATTACTGATATTACATACATAAGAATTTTAGAGGCTGCCTTTTTCTATGTGCCATGGGTAATCATGACTCTCCACAACTTCCTATCCTTCATAGCCCTTAGTAATATTTGTCTCATTACTCTATCACCCAACCCCTGTCCCACTCAACGTTTACAAAAGCTTATTAAGTACGTTCTTTGTCGTTTCCTTCTATCGTTCAATATGCCCACTGAGTATCATATTCTCCGAGCCCTCTTTCTCCATTATCTCTTCCAGAAATTACAACTGTTTATTTTGGAGTCTAAATATAAGTGACCTTTTGTTTCCAGTTTTCTTCCCTGTTGTTCACATGTCCCAACCATGGTATTCTCAAGCTTTTCTCTGTCTAACCTCATCTCTATTTCCTCAAGTATCCTCTTCAAGTTGAGCAAATTATCTGGCATTCATTGCTATATAAGAGGATTGATATTATATAATTCTTTGGCACTCTTTTCTTTGTCTATATTTCTGAGGTGAGGTCTTGTAATTATTTACACTATTTACATAAAAGGTTCGGTTTGAAAATCTAACATATATCACCTGAAGAAAGGCAGTGCATACAACGGCCGAAACCATGTGAATATGGCAATAAATATGATGACAGCAGTCTGAACAATGTAAATAGGGTAAATACTTTTTACTTTGATTTTAATTAATTAAATTTTCCTGTTTCTTAATACTTTGTTTTTGGAAGGCATCTTTCACTCTATCAATTTTGCATTTCTCTGTCACATTTTCCTTTAGTTGTTATAATGCTTTCCAGACAGTTAAATTTCTGCACTTGATTGATTCAGATTTTGTCCCTGTAAGTCAAATGAATAAAGGGTATACAAAATTTTATTTTTACTACTTTAAAAATGTTAGTCTTGAATAAATGTTTAATTGTCTAGGTTGCTATTTTTAATGCACATTCCTTTGAGAAAAGTGTATTTTTATGAAGGCCAGACAGTTTGTGTAAAAAATTGTTACACTGGTATATCTATTTCGGCTCAGCATTTAAAATCAGCCAAAATTATGAAGGATCCATTTCTAGTTTATGGAAAATTATTTTTTCATATACTGACCAATAAAAGACATAGGATGCAGGTTCGAATCCTGTCAAAGAACGAATATTTTCTATGAAAATTTCTCGGACATTCAGGCCGGTAAATGTTATTTAATACTGTTTATCATAAACAGAGCATTTGCTTAAATACTTGTATCTATAAATAAGAACGTTAAACATAAAAATGTCTTTAATAAATAAATTGTCGGACCTTGTCCATTTCTTAATAAAAGACATAGTCTCAAGCCCTAATAAGAATCTGAATGGGGATCTTGTGAACCTATTTTACAGAATAAATAGATCTCAGGACAGTAGATCTAGGGAGAAGACTTGTTTGACAGCAAGAGGACAAGGCAAATCAACCCTCAAGGAGCAGAAGGTATTTGACATCAAGAAAAAAGCATAAAGAAGTCACCAGTTACCAATCAGCTGGAGAGAGACTAAAGAATTTTGAAGTTCTAGTGAAAATTCTCTTGTGGTTGGACAACAAAGAATGAAAAGAATTCAAAGAAATTTTTCCAAGCGTAAGCAGTGTGAATTTAAAAGTGATTTTTCTAAAATTACTATATGTCCCAGAGACGGTTATGAGGCAAGTAAAAGTAGGTGTATTTTTGTTTTTTCAGAAAAGTTTATTTAAAAAGGGATTTTTCTAAAATTACTATATGTCCCAGAGACAATTATGAGGCAAGTAAAAGTACATGTATTTTTGTTTTTTCAGAAAGGTCATTGCACCCTTGTTTTTCTGTCAAATTGTATTGTTTTCTTTTTTTATCATTGAATCCTTTTGTCTTTTCCCAAAATGTAACTGTTTTTTTTTTTTCCATTTTCAACAGAAATCCATTTTCAAACCATCAGAGAGCACACAAAAGGAAATTTTTGTGCAAATTTTGTATTTGTATCTTTTTGTCTTTACTTGTGTAATAAATGTTTTTCCTTTAAAATTTTACGCAGTGGTCAAGTCTTATTTTGTTATTTGTACCTATTTTGACCTCAAGAAGAAGAGAAGCACTTGTTCTTTTTCCCTTTCTATTTGTATGAACTTGTTTGGCACAAGAACTTAGATTTAGTGTGGAATAAAATTCATATAATGTTTCTCTTTGAAATTACCTGGAAGTTTTCAAAACTACATTAATTTTGTGACGTCAACGTACACTCGTTGCCACTTTTGCGATGTCAACAAATACTCATTGTGACTTCTGTAATGCTCGTTGTAGTAGAGACTTTGTAATTGCAGATACAACTATAGTATGCTGTTGAACAATACTGGTGTTAGATGCCTTTGAATAGCACTTGCACTAATAGCATTTGCTCAAATAGTAATCTGTATAGTGATCCAAATAGAGAAATAGTATAGTGAATGGAGTAGAGAATAGCAGTCCATATAGTAATAGGGAATAGATTAAAAAATAGTGATCCAAATAGTAATAGAGGATAGAATAGAAATGCAGATCCTTTCGGCGTCATGTGACTTCCTACTTATAGAACTCACATTTACTTTGGAGTTTCATGGAGATATATATATATATATATATATATATATATATATATATATAGAGAGAGAGAGAGAGAGAGAGAGAGACACAAAACTTCAAAGTAAACATGAGTTAAGTAAAAAAAATCTTTCTCATTTTGAACAATAATAAGTATTAAAAAATTAAAATTTCTGACACACTGGATAATATATTAATATTTGTTTTATTATTTCAATTAGGTTCCTTGACTAGATTCGGCCAGCACAGCCATCATCAGGAGAGAAAAAAATCCCTGCTTGTTAATAGCAGTGAACTACAGGAGTGAATGACTGTTTCTAAAGAAAGTGAAATTTATCTCTAGTTTTTATTTGTTTTTTATTGCTAATTTTTGTCAGCCCTTGTATTGGTTAAACGGCTTCTTTCAAGTTGTTTCTAAGATAGAGGCTATATATATATATATATATATATATATATATATACACACACAAATAGTAAAAATAAAAGCTAAAAGCTTAAAATATAAAATAAACTGAGGGCCCAATGCCAAAATCAACAGAGCCTAAGTATAATAAAATAATAATCAATTCAATGATACCAAAATCTGCAACTCTGACTTTCATATGATAACAATCATGTGGTGGAAATAATTATTCCCATCTGATGATTGTTAACACATGAAACTGAGTAGCAGAGTTTGATATTATTAAATTGATAATATTATATATATATATATATATATATATATATATATATATATATATATATAAATATAAAAAGAATATGATATATAAATTTTTATATATCAAAACAATGTTAGCCAAATTAATAACAAAGTGGAAAATATATATATATATATATATATATATATATATATATATATATATATATATATATATATATATACACATCCTGGTCAAAATTTTAAAACAAGATACAAAAGGGTTAAAAATATAAAATAGTTATTTAATCAAAATATATTAGTGAAACATTTACATGTAATTAGAAAATGTAGTTTATCAACAAACAAGTGAAAATTTTAAACTTTTAAGTGATTAATTTAAACAAACATTGAAAAAAGAATTTTTTTGGTTGGTTATAAAGATAAGACCATGTGTGAAAAAAAATTACTGGACAAAAAATTTAGAACTAGTCAGTGTGCTCATAGCTCATTTCCAGTATTAAATTTCACTTTTTAAAATGGCTAAGGGTAAAATTTGAACAAAGTTTGAACAGGGCAGGATTGTTAAACTTCAAACAAGCCATTGCAAATGAAATTGGCTGTCATTGCTAACTTCATTAAAAATCAAGCAGTCGCCCCCAATAAAATCTCTCCATCTCTAGACAGACGCATTAGGTGAGAAGTTAAGAGAGATTCAAGCCTAACATCAAATCAGATAAAAGCAAATACAGGTGCTGAATGCAGCTCTTGAATAATTCAACAGCATTTAAATAAGAAAGGGTTAAAGAATTTGAAACGACTTCAGAAACCTTGCCTTCTCCTTCACCATAAAACTTCCAGTTTATAATTTGCTTACGATTATCAAACTTGGGATGTGGATAAATGGAAGAAAGTGTTGTTTTTGGATGAGAAAAAATTCAACCATGATGGACCAGACAGTTTTCAGCATTACTGGCATGCAAAAGATGTCCCAAAAGAAATTTTGTCAACACAGCAGTGGAGGTGGATCATTTATGGTCTGGGGTTTGTTTTCATAAAATGGAACTCTTGAGTTACAGGAGGTAAAAGGTCATCAAACAGCTGCTAGTTACATTGCCATGTTAAGAAAGGCATTGCTAATTACTGAAGGCCCTCATCTGTGTGGAGGAAACTGGGTTTTCCAGCAGGACAATGCTGCAATCCAGAATGTTCTCTAGATCAAAACCCAATCTAGAATGTTTGGGGATGGATGGCAAAGGATATTTATAAACATGGATCGGAATTTGAAACTGTGGATGCTGATCATGCTGCAGTTTATGCATCCTGGGCAAGCATCCCAAAGCAAATTTTTGAAGTAATTTGCCAAAATGGCGGATATACTGAGAATTAAATTGTAGTTGTGACTTATTTGTTCTGTATTTACTATTTTTATTTACATGGTCTTATCTTTATGACCAACCCAAAAAATCCTTTTTTCAATGTTTGTTTAAATTAATCAATTAAAAGCTTAAAATGTTCACTTGTTTGTTGATAAACTACATTTTCAAATTAAATGTAAATATTTCGTAAATGTATTTTGATTAAAATACTATTTTATATATTTTTTTCTTAAGATTTTGACCAGGAGTGTATATAACTTTTAAAGTAATTAATGAGCTTTTTAATCTGACATTATTGCTTATTAATATAAATGTTATGTGTACAGATATTTCAAGCAAGAAGACTCAATG